TCGAGATTTTTACCAGTTTGACCGTAATAAACTTTATCGCAAATTTTACAAGGAATCTTATAGACACATCCATCAGCATTTTGGGGGAAATTCTTAATCAAAAGTTTTTTTTACTGTATCAAGATTTTTGAATACAACTTTAATATTAAAAGTCTTAAGAAGAGAAGGCATATCAACCAAGTTTTCATGGTAAGGGAGAACCAACATATTTTTAGTTGAATAAGGCTGGTTGCCCTTTTTTGGATTATAAAAAGTGTTCCTAGCAACTTTAAAAGATTTATCAATTACATTTCTTGGGTATTTTAAATCATTTACCTATTTCATAAATTTTGGATATTTCCTCATCTATGAACTCAGGACTACAAATTCGTAAAGCTCTCAAAAACATTGATGAGAAAAAAAGACAGTTTGACTCTATCTTGATGCGAGGAATAATAGTGGACATAGGAACAGTTATTTGTAGGTTTTCTGTAAATTTTAAATTTGAATTCATTATTACCCTTAATAATTAAAACATCTAGAAAAGGCAATGATCTTATTGCATATATATATATATATATATATATATATATTTTATATATATATATATATATATATATATATATTTATATTATATATATATATATATATATATATATTTTATATATATATATTATATATATATATATATATATATATATATATTTTATATATATATATATTAACAAGTCGGCCGTCTCCCACCGAGGCAGGGTGACCCAAAAAAGAAAGAAAAATCCCGAAAAAGAAAATACTTTCATCATCATTCAACACTTTCACCTCACTCACACATAATCACTGTTTTTGCAGAGGTGCTCATAACACAACAGTTTAGAAGTATATACGTATAAAAATACACAACGTTTCCCTCCAAAGTGCCAATATCCTGAACCCCTTCTTTAGAGTGCAGGCATTGTGCTTCCCATTTCCAGGACTCAAGCCCGGCTATACAAAAATAACCGGTTTCCCTGAATCCCTTTACTAAATATTACCCTGCTCACACTCCAACAGATCGTCAGGTCCCAAATACCATTCGTCTCCATTCACTCCTATCGAACACGCTCATGTACGCCTGCTGGAAGTCCAAGCCCCTCTCCCACAAAACCTCCCTTACCCCTTCCTTCCCACCTTTTCGAGGACGACCCCTAACCCGCCTTCCTTTCCCTACAGATTTAAACGCTGTCCATGTCATTCTACTTTGATCCATTCTCTCTAAATGACCAAACCACCTCAACAACCCCTCTTCAGCCCTCTGACTAATACTTTTATTAACTCCACACTTCCTCCTAATTTCCACACTCCGAATTTTCTGCGTAATATTTACACCACACATTGACCTTAGACAGGACATATCCACTGCCTCCAACCGCCTCCTCACTGCTGCATTCACAACCCAAGCTTCACACCCATATAAGAGTGTTCCTTCTACTATACTTTCATACAATCCCTTCTTTGCCTCCATAGATAACGTTTTTTGTCTCCACATATACCTCAACGCACCACTCACCTTTTTTCCCTCATCAATTCTATGATTAACCTCATCCTTCAGAAATCCATCCGTGTGTGTGTGTGTGTGTGTGTGTGTGTGTGTTTCGAAAAATTTTCCCATATATTCTATGTTGAGAAATCTTGTTTACAAAGACTGTTAACACATTTGTTGTTGTGTTGACAAAACAGGTCTGTACACTAATTCTCAACTTTTTTTCTATTAAGCATATGTAATACATGAGCCTCAGATCTAGGAAATTCATATCATTGCTGACTTTCTTAAGGACGACGTACAATAACTGTGAGTGACGGTGGTTGCGAGAGTTTCCCGTAATTCCTGGTTTCCCCACATTAAATTTTACATTGTCTATTATCACTTCGATCTGTGCAACTTATAAACAATATTTTTAGCTTTTCATCATTCAAACATTTGCCACCAAATTTCTATTTTTAATGTAAGAAATGTTTCTCACAGACTATTTTTATTTTAAAGATTTCTTCTAAAATCGATAATTTTTATGGAACCATTTCACTAACCCATTTCCAGAATGTCGCATTTATCTTCATAAAATTCTATTAGCTCATTTATCGTTCCATTTGCTCACTTCATCGAAATGTTCTCTCAAGAGGTGAGAGAAGAGCTTCTGTCTTGTGCTGAGCGGATGAAGGACGCAGCCTCCACGTCTCCTTGCTCTGCATCCTCCACACAGTTTTGTCATTCCATAATAATAAATTAATGATCAGCTTTCACTTAGATCTACTACTGCAAATAAGATAACGAAATATCAGCAAACATATTTATATATAAGTTTTTTTTCTTTTCAGAATATGTGAAAATAACAGAAATATGAAAGGTGTATGCGATTTGAAGTCATGACTAGGAATTCATACCAAGCTTAAAGTAATGGTAAAAAATGCAGCCAAATTACGGTTTTACAGAAAGTTGCCAGCATTCGAGACTCGTATTCACCTCATAATTTTCTGAAACTTCCTCACGTTGTAAAATTCCCATTAGATAAACCAAAGAGAGGGAAAGTAAACTCTATAGTTCTATGCAGTATCCGTGAATCCCGAATGCTGGCGGCTTTCTGTAAAACTGTGATTAAACAGTAGTTAAGAGCGATCATTAAGGCTTGTGTGAATTAACCTGTAAAATGACTAAAACTTCAAAACGTGTTCGTAGGCTCGAATACAACATATACTGTACAGTTTTACGCTCATATTTATTCCTTTTGATAAATCATTTTCGAACATTTTTAATCTGGCTGATACTTACATCCATCACAGCTGAAAGTTAAGACACAAGTGCAACATCTGGTTATCTTTATTGTAGACGTTTCGCCATCCAGTGGCTTTATCAATACAGATTCTAGGACATAACTAGAAGACAGTAGAACTATATACAAAAGATCAGGTAATCAGTCCCTCAGCCTAGGAGTGGAGAGCACCGTGGTCGACGGTATTCTCAGAATATCTTCGACCACGGTGCTCTCCACTCCTAAGCTGAGGGACTGATTACCTTATCTTTTGTATATAGTTCTACTGTCTTCTAACGAAGCAAGTACAGATCTTTGAGGGACCCCGTAGTCAGGGCCTATGAGAGGGGCAGGGCTCAGCCGGTACATTGGTCTCTGAAAGACCCATATAGCCGTAGACAATATATTTCGATTTTTTCACTTGATTCTTTTTTTTTAGTAATTTCAACTATAGTTTATTTAGAAAAATAATTATGTAAAAATCACTTAGACTGGTGACCTCAGGCTGCCCCCAGGGGCTCCAAAACAGTCTCATTCTGCCTTGCAAAATTTCTCTTGGAGGCCCCACTCACAGTGCTGCATGACGGTTTTCCCTCTAATCACTGTTACAGTTTTTCACTGAAAGAAACAACTTATTTATGCTTTTATTTTCCTGCATTGTTTACAGCGATCATAGAAGCTACATCATATTTTTTTAAGAGGTAAACAATTTAATTTTCCTTATTGCTTTTCTAAATACCAGGAATATATATGTGAATAAAAAGGCACAATATCGTGACTAATTATGGTTCGAGTTGGACTGAAACGTCGCCATCAGTTTCAGTCTTCTTTGTGCAGGTTATTTAGGTAATATGTATAGTATATTTTAAACTTGTCCGCCAACTAATTTCGGCGAAGGTCAAAAAATCACCCAGAAAGGAAAGCTTTGCTCTTATCTATATTCCTTGAAATCCAAAGGCCACTTTCTCTACGACAACTCGCTTGTTTTAATCGATTTGCAATAACAGTTTGCTTACTTCCTGTTTGGTAATTTCAATAGATGATCTCTTATTTATCTGTGTAAGGAGGATGGCGTTCAGGTCCACTTCATTTAAGATCTTTTGTAAATATACTGACGAACCTCACGTTTAATATATCTCAAATTTCTTCCTCTGCTTCCGCAAATTATTGACTTTCTAATTTGAATATAACATTTCACATTTTATTAATCCTTTTTCAAACATGAGTTGAAGATTTAGTTCCTATTGCTCTTTTCTGTTGTTCATTAAGAAAGTCACTCATTTGCATATATTTTAGTCTAATCTCCGATAAGTTTGAAGTACAGAGTTTTCTGTATTTGCTTCAAATTTCTCAGATGTGTCTGTTGTTAGTCAAGTCTTAAGGGATAACAGGTGGTAGGAGTGACTTTTTTTTCAGGCTGAAGACAAAAGTAATTAAAAGTTACGTAAAGCGCTAAACTCATGTGGGTGATTCGGTGTAAGAGGTGGTGAAGGCTCGATTCTCCGTCCATTAAGAGCGGGATAGACACGCTAACTATTGCACCCACCTAGCTGAGGAGATTCGATCACATGAGTATTGTTTTATTGGGAACAGTTTCCAACCTATTATGTTCTTCCTGTTAAGATGGTCACTGATTTAAATAAAAATACTTACCTGTTGTGTACAGAAATTTAATAGTTCTTATGGTAGTGTGAAGAGTCGGTAGAGGTGAGGGGGTTCTGGCAAGCGGGTTTTGGTTGAGGGGTTATGGGTGGGTGGTATGGCCTAGGTAGGAATGTAGATGAGTGGGTAACACGACCTGGGTGAAGAGTTGTGGGTGGGTGATCGTGTGTAGTATGAGTCAGCGGCACCGCGTGGGAGAGGGGTTGTTGGGTAGGGCGTGAATGAGGGGTTGTGGGGTAAGGCTTGGATAAGGGGTTGTGGGTGTGTGGTACGGCGTGAGTGAGGGGTTGAGAGTGTGTGGTACGGCGTGAGTGAGGGTTGAGGGTGTGTGGTACGGCGTGAGTGAGGGGTTGAGGGTGTGTGGTACGGCGTGAGTGAGGGGTTGAGGGTGTGTGGTACGGCGTGAGTGAGGGGTTGAGGGTGTGTGGTACGGCGTGAGTGAGGGGTTGAGGGTGTGTATTACGGCGTGGATGAGGGGGGTTGTGGGTAGGTGGTTGAGTGGATGTTTGTGGATGGTGTTGTGTGGCATCGGTGATGCAACATTGACTAGCAGCAGGAATTTGTTGATATTCGTACCTGAAGGGAGTGAGTGATGGGATCAACATCCTTCACCTCCTGGAGGAGCAAGTCCTGTATCCTCTGCTCCCTCGCCAGAAAGTAAACACAGAATCCCAGGGTTGTAGCTGTCTGCAGGGAACACAAAAACAATAAATATATTTTTAATAACATCTCCGTAGGGAAGTAATAAATACATTTTCTATAAAACCTCTGTAAACAATAGATACATTTTTCATAATATTTTCCTGGGTAAACAATTGTTTTATACTGGATGAAAAATCAAGAAGTGGAAAATATTCGGTTTTTCACTTTATGATATTTTACCCAATCCAAAACAATCTAGAGTCTACTTTAAGAAAATACTTTTCAGTCCTACCCTGAAAACAAGCGTACACAGGAAAAGTAAATCGTGTTGTTACAAAATAGATAAGCGAGACATGAGAGGATTTTGACCAATGTGCACAGCACACACAGCGCCTGATAAATGGTTAATTGTCTAAACTTTGCAACGCGGAAAGTAACAAAAGGTGGTTCCTTTGCGGGCTCGTTGACATTATAAAACTTCTGGTTGATGAGCGACAAAGTAGTTGGAAACTCTTTAATTAATATAATAGTTAACATTTTTTCTCCCAATTTTTGATGACGCCTGTGAGGGTTGAAATTATTATATTACGTAGATGGATATCTATTTGTTTATTCTAGTGGGTGAACATTAAAATGGTATAAAATACCGACAGGTTGTTAGGTAAGACACATATGCAACAGTTAGGTATCTTTATTTCGAAACGTTTCGCCTACACAGTAGGCTTCTTCAGCCGAGTACAGAAAAGTTGATAGAAGCAGAAGAGACTTGAAGACGATGTAATCAGTCCACCACCCTTAAAGTTTTGAGGTGGTCAGTCCCTCAGTCTGGAGAAGAATATTGTTCCATAGTCTGAAACAATATGGAGTTGAAGTGATAGGATGGAGCCTTATATAGCGCCAGGAGGTGAGACGTAGGTCACTAGCAGAACGCAGATGTTGGGAGGTCAGGTTCCTCTCAAATCCAGCCGTTCTCACTAGTAGAGGTTGTCGAAGTTGATTTCAGGTCTGTACCAAGATACCCTTGTGTTGCAGTGTCTGACAGATTGAACATTAAAATGGTATAAAATACCAACAGATATCTTTATTTCGAAACGTTTCGCGTACACAGTAGGCTTCTTCAGTCGAGTACAGAAAAGTTGATAGAAGCAGAAGAGACTTGAAGACGATGCAATCAGTCCATCACCCTTAAAGTTTTGAGGTAGTCAATCCCTCAGTCTGGAGAAGAGCATTGTTCCATAGTCTGAAACAATATGGAGTTGAAGTGACAGGATGGAGCCTTATATAGCGCCAGGAGGTGAGACGTAGGTCACTAGTAGAACGAAGATGTTGGGAGGTCAGAAGATACCTAACTGTTGCATATGTGTCTTACCTAACAATTCTAGTGGGTATGTGTATGTGGGGGGGGGGGGAGATGAGCCTATGTGGGAGTGTGTATTTACGAGGCCAAGCGCGAATATGCAAACGTGATTTATAAGTATGTAGGTAAGTCAGATAAGGTTGGTGTATGTGCAGCTTCATTTATAGTTAATTACTAAAGAGTATCCCAGAAGGATATCAATGCTAGTTCAACTTGTTGCTATCCCGTTATCATATTCATCACATGATACAAAATTTATGCAATAGATATACAAGAGAAGGTCAGACGTTCCCAGTCAACATCAATTAAAACTGTGCAAGACAGGTATACAATACCGACAAGATGAAAGGTAAGACACTTGTGCATCATCTGGTTATCTTTATTGTAGACTTTTCGCCATCCAGTGGCTTTATCAATACAGATTCTTGGACATAATTAGAAAACAGAAGAACTATATACAAAAGATGAGGTAATCAGTCCCTCAGCCTTGGAGGTGGTGTTTACAGCACCGTGGTTGTAAAGATTCAACCACGGTGTTGTAAACACCACCTCCAAGGCTGAGGGACTGATTACCTCATCTTTTGTATATAGTTCTTCTGTTTTCTAATTATGTCCAAGAATCTGTATTGATAAAGCCATTGGATGGCAAAACGTCTACAATAAAGATAACCAGATGTTGCACAAGTGTCTTAACTTCATCAATTAAAACTGACACAGTACGCTGTAAACCACCGCAATAACGTATGGGATTAGATCGGAAAGCAGTAAACTACGGAAATTATTAATATTTATTAAAAGAATCAGCGAAAAATTGCATGAAAATAGTCATATTTATATGTTTATTATTTCAAATGTTTACTCAACCCTTTGCAGTCTTTGTTTTTTCTCAGCTTCCAGAAGATCGGGAAAACTTTTCAGTCTCAGCATCTCAACTCTGTTTTAGATTTACATCCATTATGTGCAATCGATACTTCGACTTTATATAGTTACAGCACAAGAAAAGTGGATACACAGACATAAGGTGACTAGAACATTGGAAACAGGTTTTCGAAGGACCACTACTGCTTTTCATATACATAAATGACTTGCCAAAGGCAACTGGTTCTAATGTGAGGAAAAGTAGAGAGGAAAAATGTGAGGAGAATGGAGACCAGACACGGAGGAGATTGGAGACAAGAGTCAGAGTACAACCAGAGATATAGGAGATCATGAACTAGCATGGACTTGGAATTCACCCGGATATTACATACGTAAGACCCCTCGGCGCTAGCTGTCACACAGACCTTCGTTTCGAATATCTTGTAGACTTAACAGTGGAAAGTGAAGCAGTACTGGAATGTGGTGAGAAGCCAAACTTCAAAAGAGGGGACATCACAGGCATGAAGCAGTTCCTATATGACATGCAGAGGGAGAGAGAACTAGCCGGAAAGACAGTGAATGAGATGATGTAGTCTTTGGCCTGAAAGTGCAGGGAGGCGAAGAAAAATTTGTATCCAAGAGCAACAGAAACAATTGGAAGACCAGTGTGTAGGGGCCAAAGCCAAATATGCTAGATCATAGAAAAAGTACAGAAGGCAAAGAATTCAGGAAAACAAAGAGCTGAGCGGAAGAGCCAATTTGAGAATGACGTAGCACTGAAAGCTAAAACCGATCCAAAGTAGTTATAGCCACATCAGGAGGACGACAACAGTCAGGGACCAGGTAATCAAGCTGAATAGGAAAGGCAGGGAGCTCACAAGAAATGATCAGGAAGTCTGGGAAGAGCTCAGCATGAGAATGAGGGAAGTATTCTAAGTATTCTGGCCTCCCAACAAGTTCAACCCCAGTGCAACCAAACACTCTAAACCAAAACACCCATGCCACATCCAATGCCCCCACCCACTGCATTACAAACTCCACCCCCACAGCAACCACCCATAGTTCCTTATCAGGTCTCCCACTTCCCCAACCCCAATACACCTCCCAGACCACAATCTTAGAAAAGAAGTTGAAGGTGTGGTATACAAATGCAGATGGAATAACAACTAAGTATGAGGAGTGGCACGAAAGAATCAAGGAGACATCCCCAGACATAATAGCACTCACAGAAACAAAACTCACCAGAATAATAACAGATTCGATCTTTCCATCCGGATATCAAATCCTCAGGAAAGACAGAGGGAGGAGAGGGGGAGGAGGAGTTGCACTGCTCATTAAAAACCAGTGGGGGGTTGAGAAAATGGAAGGAATGGATGGCATGGGCGAAAGGGACTACTTAGTAGGAACAATCCAGTCTGAGGGACATAAGGTGATAATTGCAGTAATGTACAACCCACCACAGAACTGCAGGAGGCAAAGAGAAGAATACGATGAGAGCAACAGAGCAATGGTCGACACACTAGCCGAGGTGGCCAGGAGAGCACACATCGGGGGATCAAAGTTACTAGTTATGGGTGATTTCAATCACAAGGAGATTGACTGGGAAAACCTGGAGTCCCATGGGGGTCCCAAAACATGGAGAGCCAAGATGATGGATGTGGTACTGGAAAACCTCATGCATCAACATGTTAGAGACACTACCAGAGAGAGAGAGGAGAGGATGAACCAGCAAGACTGGACCTTGTATTCACCATGAGTAGTTCTGACATCGAGGATATCATGTATGAAAGGCCCCTGGGAGCTAGTGATCATGTGGTTCAGTGCTTCGACTACATAGTTGAGCTCCAAGTGGAGAGAGCAGCAGGAATAGGGTGGGAAAAATCAAACTACAAAAGGGGGAACTACTCAGGCTTGAGGAACTTCTTTCAAGACATTCAGTGGGAGAGGGAACTGACAGGAAAACCAGTACAAGAAATGATGGACTATGTGGCAACAAAATGCAAGGAGGCAGAGGAGAGGTTTGTTCCCAAGGGAAACAGAAATAATGGGAAGAACAGAACGAGTCCTTGGTTCACCCAAAGGTGTAGGGAGGCAAAAACTAGGTGTACTAGAGAATGGAAAAGGTACAGAAGACAGAAAACTCAGTAAAATAAAGAGATTAGCCGAAGAGCCAGAAACGAATATGCACAGATAAGAAGGGAGGCTCAGCGGCAATGCGAAAATTACATAGCATCGAAAGTCAAGACTGACCCGAAGCTGTTGTACAGCCACATCAGGAGGAAAGCAACAGTCAAGGACCAGGTAATCAGACTGAGGAAGGGTGATGGGAAATTCACAAGAAACGACCGGGAGGTATGTTAGAAGCTCAACACAATATTTAAAGAAGTATTTACAGTGGAAACCAGTAGGACTCCAGGAAATCAGAGCAGTGGGGTGCACCAGCAAGTGCTGGATGAGGTACATATAACCAAGGAGGAGGTGAAGAAGCTGCTATGCGAACTTGACACCTCAAAGGCGGTGGGACCAGACAACATCTCTCCGTGGGTCCTTAAAGAGGGAGCAGAGACACTGTGTGTACCATTAACAAAGATCTTCAACACATCATTTGAAACTGGGCAACTCCCCGAGGTATGGAAGATGGCAAATGTAGTCCCAATTTTTAAAAAGGGAGACAGACATGAGGCACTAAACTACAGACCTGTATCACTAACGTGTATAGTATGCAAGGTCATGGAGAAGATCATCAGGAGGAGAGTGGTGGAGCACCTGGAAAGAAACAAGTGTATAATTGACAACCAGCATGGTTTCAGGGAGGGGAAATCCTGTGTCACAAACCTATTAGAGTTTTATGACAAGGTGACAGAAGTAAGACAAGAGAGAGAGGGGTGGATCGACTGCATTTTTTTGGACTGCAAGAAGGCCTTCGACACAGTTCCTCACAAGAGGTTACTGCAAAAGCTAGAGGATCAGGCACACATAACAGGAAAGGCACTGCAATGGATAAGAGAATACCTTACAGGGAGGCAACAACGAGTCATGGTACATGACGAGGTGTCAAAGTGGGCGCCTGTGACAAGCGGGGTTCCACAGAGGTCAGTCCTAGGACCTGTGCTGTTCTTGGTATATGTGAATGACATAACGGAAGGGATAGACTCAGAAGTGTCCTTGTTTGCGGGCGATGTGAAGTTAATGAGAAGAATCAAATCGGATGAGGATCAGGCAGGACTACAAAGAGACCTGGACAGGCTACAAGCCTGGTCCAGCAACTGGCTCCTTGAGTTTAACCCCGCCAAATGCAAAGTCATGAAGATTGGGGAAGGGCAAAGAAGACCACAGACACAATATAGTTTAGATGGCCAAAGTCTGCAAACCTCACTCAAGGAAAAAGATCTGGGGGTGAGTATAACACCGAGCATATCTCCTGAGGCGCACATCAATTAGATAACTGCTGCAGCATACGGGCGCCTGGCAAAGCTACTGATAGCGTTCCGATACCTCAGTAAGGATTCGTTCAAGACTTTGTATACCATTTACGTCAGGCCCATACTGGAGTATGCAGCACCTGTTTGGAATCCACACCTAGTCAAGCACGTCAAGAAATTAGAGAAAGTGCAAAGGTTTGCAACAAGACTAGTCCCAGAGCTACGGGGATTGTCCTACGAAGAAAGGTTGAGGGAAATCGGCCTGACGACACTGGAGGCCAGGAGGGTCAGGGGAGACATGAAAACGACATATAAAATACTGCGCGGAATAGACGAGGTGGACAAAGACGGGATGTTCCAGAGATGGGACACAGACACAAGAGGTCACAATTGGAAGTTGAAGACTCAGATGAATCAAAGGGATGTTAGGAAGTATTTCTTCAGTCATAGAGTAGTCAAGCCGTGGAATAGCCTAGAAAGTGAAGTAGTGGAGGCGGGAACCATACATAGTTTTAAGGCGAGGTATGATAAAGCTCATGGAGCAGGGAGAGAGAGGACCTAGTAGCAATCAGTGAAGAGGCGGGGCCAGGAGCTATGACTCGACCCCTGCAACCACAAATAGGTGAGTACACACACCACGCACACGTGTCTAATCGACATGTGCCTAAGACAAAATGGTAACTAACTAGCACACACACACATACACATTCCCGCGAAACTAATTATCTTTTAGAGAAAGTCCATTGAGTGGAAACACCATCCCAATGTCCTATTTCATCCACAAAGACATTCTGGACATTCCAGCTCCTTGCAGGACTATTTTTTGGTACACGGAGTGCGTGCAAGAATTTAATAATGTGAACAGTTTGAAGTCTTGTCTCGTTGTGAGGTCACTTGCTGAGCACTTTACATACCCTTAGGTCTTTACATCTCGCTATGAACCCACTTGCAAATCACGCAACTTGCAGTACATATTTATGGTTGTATAAGGTCGAGTCTCAGCTCCTGGTCCTACCTATTAACTGACCGTTACCAAGTTCCTTTCATCTTTACCATGGTGGGCCGTAGCCATATCTATCCTGTAATTTTTGTAAGAAGTCTCCCTCTACCACTTCCTTATCCACTTCATCCCACTTTCCTACCACAGTGAGACTGAAGAAATACTTCCCGACATCCCCGTGACTCGTCTGTACCTCTAACTTCTATTTCATTTTGTTCTCAAGAACCCGTTTCTCACAAGTGCAACTAATGTGACATTTTATTGTGGCAACGTTTCGCTCTCCAGGAGCTTTGTCAAGCCTGGAGAGTGAAACGTTGCCACAATAAAATGTCACATTAGTTGCACTTGTGTCCTTTTACTTTACATATTGTCGGTAATTCTACCAACATTATTACAACCCGTTTCTCACCACGCTAACTATCCGTCGCTGTCACCCCTCTAACTATCCATCGCTGTCACCCCTCTAACTATCCATCGCTGTCGCCCCTCTAACTATCCATCGCTGTCACCCCTCTAACTATCCACCGCTGTCACTCCTCTAACTATCCATCGCTGTCACCCCTCTAACTATCCATCGCTGTCACCCCTCTAACTATCCATCGCTGTCACCCCTCTAACTATCCATCGCTGTCACCCCTCTAACTATCCATCGCTGTCACCCCTCTAACTATCCATCGCTGTCACCCCTCTAACTATCCATCGCTGTCACCCCTCTAACTATCCATCGCTGTCACCCCTCTAACTATCCATCGCTGTCACCCCTCTAACTATCCATCGCTGTCACCCCTCTAACTATCCATCGCTTTCAACGCTAAATACTTAGGAAAAAAATTTATCATTCCGTTATCATATCGCTCCTGGATCTTTCACCTTTAATATGATCAGTCTCAGTTTCTTTAATCTTTCCTCATATTACATTTCCTTTAGCTCCGTGAATAGTCTCTTTCTGTACTTCTTTTCCTTCTCTAGTTTCTTAATAGACGAGGGTTCCAAAATAGTACTATATTTCTAGAAATATACTAACCACTATGCTCAATCCTAGTTCTTTCTTCAGCAGCGTCTTACTGATCTGGTATCCTGATGTATGCGTCAGACTACCCTCTGCCATGCATTAAGGGTGGGTCTACCATGAAAAAAATAAATCCTGTTCAATCCTTCGGTCAGCATTTCTTAGTGGCAGAGAATAAAGCAACCTTAGTTTCTTAAAAGCTAACGGTAAGGTTCACAAAGTGTTTCATGGCTTCATGAGACCGGCAGATAAAGGGAGATTGACTTGCACATTACACAATTTCCATCATATTGACATGAGGGCTAAGCAACACATAATAATTTTGATACCTCTTCAGACTCACTGTCAGTCAGACTGGCAGCTAGTCAGACTGGCAGTCATACTGTCATATCGAAAATCAGTTAGACTGCCAGCCAATGAGACTGAAAGCCAATCAGACTCACGACGCATTACACAGATCTCTGTTCGATAATAAATGTTTTCCATTTATCATTGAACAGTGTTTGTGATACTTCATTTCAAGCTTATATATATAATATTAATAATAACATCATCAACAACAACAACATTGTTATTATATGTACTTATAAAAGATCTGCAGTACATTCTTAGTGTACGAGAGTTAAATTATAAGATTAATAATGGTCGTGTCTCGCTCGTCAGGAAACATGGAAGTGTCTCCTGACACGGGTAATAAACAGTTCTGTATATTAAATAAAAATACAAATAAAAATGAAAATCAGAAAATGCTCACGAGGATACCTTTTTAATAATGAATAATGACAATTGTATTAGTCATATACATAATTTACAAAGAAGTTATTTTTTATTTTTGGTCAATTTTGCACAGACGCTTTATACGGCATTTACCCTACTAAGAGTTCATTTATTACGATTATTTTGCCTTAGTAACAAGAGAGTTCGCTTACTGTAAATATTCTCTCATGATAATGGCAGCAAATGTATGTTCCCTGCCTATGTAACAAGAGTCTACCTACTACATATATCCTAGCTTAGTAACACAGCCTGTTTGCTTCCTGTGTCCTGCCATAGTAACAGCAAGAACTTATTTACTGTTTCCATCCAGACTTGGCAACAACAGAACTTCCTCACTGCATATATCTTGCCCTAGTAACAACAAGGCCTGGCTGACTTCATATATTCTGCCTTACTAAGGACAGAGTTTGTTTACTGTCTAATAAAACTTGCTTACCGCGTCTATGCCGCCCTGAAACATCTCCACCAGCAGAAGAAACACATCACTTGGGTTGAGGTTCGGGTTGCTCAGTAGAGAGTCGAGCAGCGGATGTTTGGTAGCAAACGCTTGCGGGTCAACGGCCCGTTCACGGTGACGCAGGTACACCTCCTCTTGTACAATCCTGCAAGGGTAAGAGAGAGAGAGAGAGATGGGAAGAGTATGGGACACTGGGTGGAGGTGCAGCTGGGATACTGGGTGGACGTACAGCAGGGACACTGGCTGCAGGTACAGCTGGGACACTGGGTGGAGGTACAGTTAGGACACAGGGTGGAGTTACAGCTGGGACACAGGGTAGAGGTACAACTGGGACACAGGGTGGAGGTACAGCTGGGACACTGGGTGAAGGTGCAGCTGGAACACTGGGTGGAGGTACAGCTGGGACACAGAGTGGAGGTACAGCTCTGAAACAGGGCGGAAGTACAGCTGAGACACAGGGTGGAGATACTGCTGTGACACAGGGTGGAGGTACAGCTGGGACACAGAGTGGAGGTACAGCTGAGAAATAGGGTGGAGGTACAGTGGGACACAAGGTGGAGGTACAGCTGAGACACAGAGCGGAGGTACAGCTGGGTCACAGAGTGGAGGTACAGCTGAGACACAGGATGGAGGTACAGCTGGGACACAGGGTGGAGGTACAGCTGGGACGCTGGATGGTGGAACAGCTGGGACACAGGATGGAGGTACAGCTGAGACACAGGGTGGAGGTACAGCTGGGACACAGTGTGGAGGTACAGCTGGGACACAGGGTGGAGGTACAGCTGGGTCACAGGATGGAGGTACAGCTGGGACACAAGGTGGAGGTACAGCAGAGACACAGGGTGGAGGTACAGCTGAGACACCGGGTGAAGGTACAGATGGGACACAAGGAGCAGGTACAGCTGGGACACAGAGTGGAGGTACAGCTGAGACACAGGGTGGAGGTACAGCTGGGACACAGGGTGGAGATACAACTGGGACACAGGGTGGAGGTACAGTTGGGACCCTGGGTGGAGGTACAGATGGGACATTGGGTGGAGGTACAGCCTGGACACAGGGTGGAGGTACAACTGAGACACTGGGCGGATGTATAGCTGAGACACTGGGTGGAGGTATAGCTGGGACATTGGGTGGAGGTACAGCTGGGACACCGGGTGGAGGTACAGCTGGGACATTAGGTGGAGGTACAGCTGAGACACATGGTGGAGGTATAGCTGGGACACAGGGTGGAGATACAGCTGGGACACAGGGTGGAGGTACAGCTGGGTCACAGGGTGGAGGTACAGCTGGGACACAAGGTGGAGGTACAGCCTGGACACAGGGTGGAGGTACAACTGGGACACTGGGCGGATGTATAGCTGAGACACGGGGTGGAGGTATAGCTGGGACATTGGGTGGAGGTACAGCTGGTACACAGTGTGGAGGTACAGCTGAGACACATGGTGGAGGTATAGCTGGGACACAGGGTGGAGGTACAGCTGGGACACATGGTGGAGGTACAGCTGAAACACAGGGTGGAGGTACAGCTGGAACACTGGATGGAGGTACAGCTGGGACACAAGGTGGAGGTACAGCTGGGACACAGGTTGGAGATACGGGTGAGACACTGGGTGGAGGTACAGCTGGTACACTGGGTGGAGGTACAGCTGGGACACTGGGTGGACGTACAACTGAGACACTGGTTGTAGGTACAGCTGGGACACAGGGTGGAGGTACAGCTGGGACACAGGGTGGAAGTACAGCTGGGTCACAGGGTGGAGGTACAGCTGGGACACATAGTAGAGGTACAGCTGAGACACAGGGTGGAGGTACAGCTGGGACACGGGGTGGAGGTACAGCTGGGACACAAGTTGGAGGTACAGCTGGTACACAGTGTGGAGGTACAGCTGGGACACAGGGTGGAGGTACAGCTGGGACACAGGGTGGAGGTACAGCTGGGACGCTGGATGGTGGAACAGCTGGGACACAGGGTGGAGGTACAGCTGAGACACAGGGTGGATGTACAGCTGGGACACAGTGTGGAGGTACAGCTGGGACACAGGGTGGAGGTACAGCTTGGTCACAGGATGGAGGTACAGCTGGGACACAAGGTGGAGGTACAGCAGAGACACAGAGTGGAGGTACAGCTGAGACACCGGGTGAAGGTACAGATGGGACACAAGGTGGAGGTACAGCTGGAACACAGAGTGGAGGTACAGCTGAGACACAGGGTGGAGGTACAGCTGGGACACAGGGTGGATATACAACTGGGACACAGGGTGGAGGTACAGTTGGGACCCTGGGTGGAGGTACAGATGGGACATTGGGTGGAGGTACAGCCTGGACACAGGGTGGAGGTACAACTGAGACACTGGGCGGATGTATAGCTGAGACACTGGGTGGAGGTATAGCTGGGACATTGGGTGGAGGTACAGCTGGGACACCGGGTGGAGGTACAGCTGGGACATTAGGTGGAGGTACAGCTGAGACACATGGTGGAGGTATAGCTGGGACACAGGGTGGAGATACAGCTGGGACACAGGGTGGAGGTACAGCTGGGTCACAGGGTGGAGGTACAGCTGGGACACAGAGTAGATGTACAGCTGAGACACAGGGTGGAGGTACAGCTGGAACACGGGATGGAGATACAGCTGGGACACAAGGTGGAGGTACAGCTGGGACACAGTGTGGAGGTACAGCTGGGACACAGGGTGGAGGTACAGCCTGGACACAGGGTGGAGGTACAACTGGGACACTGGGCAGATGTATAGCTGAGACACTGGGTGGAGGTATAGCTGGGACATTGGGTGGAGGTACAGCTGGGACACAGGGTGGAGGTACAGCTGGGACACGGGGTGGAGGTACAGCTGGGACACAAGTTGGAGGTACAGCTGGTACACAGTGTGGAGGTACAGCTGAGACACATGGTGGAGGTATAGCTGGGACACAGGGTGGAGGTACAGCTGGGACACATAGTGGAGGTACAGCTGAAACAGAGGGTGGAGGTACAGCTGGAACACAGGATGGAGGTACAGCTGGGACACAAGGTGGAGGTACAGCTGAGACACAGTGTGGAGGTACAGCTGGGACACAGGGTGGAGGTACAGCTGGGACACTGGGTGGAGGTACAGCTGGGACACAGGTTGGAGGTACGGGTGAGACACTGGGTGGAGGTACAGCTGGTACACTGGGTGGAGGTACAGCTGGGACACTGGGTGGACGTACAACTGGGACACTGGTTGTAGGTACAGCTGGGACACAGGGTGGAGGTACAGCTGGGACACAGGGTGGAAGTACAGCTGGGTCACAGGGTGGAGGTACAGCTGGGACACATAGTAGAGGTACAGCTGAGACACAGGGTGGAGGTACAGCTGGGACACGGGGTGGAGGTACAGCTGGGACACAAGTTGGAGGTACAGCTGGTACACAGTGTGGAGGTACAGCTGGGACACAGGGTGGAGGTACAGCTGGGACGCTGGGTGGAGGTACAGCTGGGACACAGGGTGGAGGTACAGATGAGACACTGGGTGGAGGTACAGCTGGGACACTGGGTGGAGGTACAACTGGGACACTTGTTGTAGGTACAGCTGGGACACTGGGTGGAGGTACAGCTGGTACACAGAGTGGAGGTACAGCTGAGACACAGGGTGGAGCTTCTGCTGGGACACAGGGTTGAGGTACAGCTGGGACACAGGGTGGAGGTACAGCTGGGACACAGGATGTAGGTACAGCTGGGACACAGGGTGGAGGTACAGTTGGGACACAGGCTGGAGGTACAGCTGGGACACAGGGTGGAGGTACAGCTGGGACACAGGGTTGAGGTACAACTGAGACACAGGGTGGAGGTACAGCTGGGACACAGGGTGGAGGTACAGCTGGGACACAGGGTGGAGGTACAGCTGGGACACAGGTTGGAGGTACAGCTGGGACACAGGGTGGAGGTACAGCTGGGACACAGGGTCTAGGTACAGCTGGGACACAGGGTGGAGGTACAGCTGGGACACAGAGTTGAGGTACAACTGAGACACGGGGTGGAGGTACAGCTGGAACACAGGGTGGAGGTACAGCTGGGACACAGGGTGGAGGTACAGCTGGGACACAGGTTGGAGGTACAGCTGGGACACAGGGTGGAGGTACAGCTGGGACACAGGGTGGAGGTACAGCTGGGACACAGGGTGGAGGTACAGCTGGGACACAGGGTTGAGGTACAGCTGAGACACCGGGTGGAGGTACAGCTGGGACACAGGGTGGAGGTAAAGCTGGGACACAGGGTGGAGGAACAGCTGGGACACAGGTTGGAGGTACAGCTGGGACACAGGGTGGAGGTACAGCTGGGACACAGGGTGGAGGTACAGCTGGGACACAGGGTGGAGGTACAGTTGGGACACAGGGTGGAGGTACAGCTGGGACACAGGGTGGAGGTACAGCTGGGACCCAGGGTGGAGGTACAGCTGGGACACAGGGTGGAGGTACAGCTGGGACACAGGGTGGAGGTACAGCTGGGACACAGGGTGGAGGTACAGCTGGGACACAGGGTGGAGGTACAGCTGGGACACAGGGTGGAGGTACAGCTGGGACACAGGGTGGAGGTACAGCTGGGACACAGGGTGGAGGTACAGCTGGGACACAGGGTGGAGGTACAGCTGGGACACAGGGTGGAGGTACAGCTGGGACACAGGGTGGAGGTACAGCTGGGACACAGGGTGGAGGTACAGCTGCGACACAGGGTGGAGGTACAGCTGGGACACAGGGTGGCGGGACCACTGTGTGGAGGAGTACAGCAGCAGCAGCTATAACCAGTTATTGTGAAATTTTTCGCTACTTCAGCTACAGAAATACTTGAGGCGCCTCACACAGGAACACACACACCAGGAAATGATATACAGTAATTCACATTTTTTTTCTTTTTTGAAAATAAAAGGAAATCATTGGCATGGGGAAAATCGAAGCTTCTTTACGCCTCAATCAGAGGGAAGAAACACTAAGTTCGTTCTTTCATAACTACAAATCAACCATTGTCTTCTTATACTTGTCATATATCATTTTTTAATTGCCTTTTACAAACTGAGGTATCTTGCAGGAGCAGAGCAAAGTAATAATGTCGGTTCAGTGATAAACTTCTACAAAAGCAAAACGTTGTAACAGTAAAATCTTACTCTGCGCTTGTGTCTTTTTCTTCATTACTGTCGGCAAGACGCTGCTGAGTCCAGAGAAATTTTTCATTCATGCGTAACACACAGCCTGCTTGCTCAGACGCAAATTCTTCAAGCAGGAAAACAAATTACCTGCGGTTGAAGCCTCTAGCACAGAAGTACTGAATTATTTCTGCTCTTGCTTCCACACCATTGATCAGCTTCAGAACACACAGAGGATCATTTAGTAGATGATGCGGTATACAACAATCTCCTCAGCATTTCTTGTGTTACTTGCTCAACTCCAGGTCTGGAAGTCACTCAGTAAAGAGTAATGTTTATATTAGTAATTTTATGGGGTAACTCTGAGCACGTAGAGGGAAGTGTTATTTACATGATGATTTTATTTACTTGCCGAAGCGTTAAATAAGAAGCAAATGTCATACAGCTCCTAGGGAATGGGGGGTAATCAAGTTTGATTTGTAGAAAGAGAGGTTAGCTCCAATTCTTGTGATCAAGAGCCCTTCAAAAATATCAAGGTACCGTCTGTAAAGGGATTAGAGGTCAATAAACAGCTCATTCTCAAATAATTGGCCTGGTGTTTCATGACTCACTTGCCATGAGTTCGATCCCCACTCGTACCGTAGTTTGATTTGATTATTTAAGATTGCTAGTTAAAGCAGTTATAATGACGTAGGACTATTAGCCTTAGTGGGTATAATAACGCAGGTTTTTTTTAGTAAAAGAAGTGATAATGAGCAAGCGCTATTAGTTCTAGCAGTTTTAATAATGCAGTATTGTTAGTCTTAGCATTTTTAATGAAGCTTGATTTTTAGTCCCAACACTTACATGAAAATAATATTAGTCCTCACAGTAATAATGTCGCAGGACTGTTATTCGTATCAGATTTAATGAAACAGGGTTATTAGTCTTGGTACTTATAATTAAACAGGAGAGTTAACCGTAGCAGTTATAATAAAGCAGAATTCTAAGTCTTAGTCGTTATAATGAAGTAGGATTATTAGTCCAATCATTTTTATTGAGCAGGTATTGCTAGTCTCAGCAGTTATAAGGAAGTAGGACTGTTAATAAGAGTAATTATAATGACCAAGTATTGATGGTTCTACCAGCTGTGCGCAGTTGTTTCAAGGTTCTGGTGTTGTCTTCAGTGAGCTGGAGTTGCTGCTGTTGCTGACCTTAGGTCATCTTTAAGGTTCTTCCTCACCAGACCATATTTTGTTCCCCAAGTTTTGAGCTGTTGCTCATTCGTCTCCATACCATCTATAATATTACTTTGTCTCCCTAAATCACTGTAGCAGATTTTAAGCCGTGGATATTCGAGTCTATATTTTTTATAGTCATTAACGTGGACAAAGACACAAACTTGTGAAACATGCTTTTATTGGAGCAACGTTTCGCTGGGTGAGACGTAGTGCACATACCCGTCGACATTACGTCCTCCTTGTCAGTAACGTTGAGTGAATGTCCAGTGGTAACCACGTGGAAAATGGTGTGAAATGTGTATTAAACATAAATCATCGTGCAATGGTATCCTCAGCTTGGGTGTTGTTGCCCACATCACGGACTCCCTATGTGTATAATGTTGCTAGCCCAGGGGTGATTATTGGAGTGTAATGTTTGAATCCAACTGGGTAAACATCTCTGGTACGAGGGATGGCAAGAGTTCTTTTCTTTGCATCACACTGCCTCGGTGAGAGGCAGTTGGAGTGCTAAAAGGCAGTGTAAATAATAATAGTAGAAGCAAGTGTATGTGCATGATATGATTGTCGGGAGGCTGGCAGCCCTTTCACCATTTCCTTTGCCTTCGTCTCCCCTTCCTTCCTTCCTTATTCCCCTCTCTCCTTCACTCCCTCCTTCCCTTCTCATACTCTTATGATAAACCCCCTTTAAAATGTAACTCAGTTTATCTAAAATTTCATAAAAATTAAAGTTCCTGCTACAGAATTTATGTGATATAATAAACATTTATAATAATATTCGCTTTTATTTTAAGTTTTACAAAAAAATATAAAATTAAAGATATAAAAGTCAAGTAATCACGAATTAGTATTGTTTGTTCATGAAGAATGGGAAGTATTCAGGTTGAATCCAAGGAAAGGGAGCAGTGTTGCATTTCCTTGGATCAACAGCCCTTCACCGGCATCGAGGCATCCTCCCACTCCTAAGATGGAGTTCTGCCAAAAACCTTCATTATCGAGAATATCTAAACGTAAGTGGACGCTTAAAAACTGAAATGTTTGCTACTGACAACTCTAGAGGGATAAAATCTGGTGGTGGGAACGAACCTGGTGATGGTATCTTGGGCTCTTGCTAGACGTTGGTAGGACCTGGTGGGGAAGACCTTGTAGAGCGGAGGTGTAAAGAATGATTTGCCCAGGAGCTCTAGTGTGTCTTCGTTGGCTTTGATGATTACGTCAGCACGGGCGGTGTGGGCGGTGTGCACGTGCTCCAGACAACCCAGACGGGTGCCCAGGGTCACCACCCCAACAGCTGTGGCAAGGAAAGTAATAGTATCATTACGAATTCACAAGGATCATAGGAGGAAGGGCAGGAAACACTTGGTAAGTGAAAAAAATAATAAGTGACAAAACGAGATTAAACTAAAACGGACATGCAACACTGGAGATGAAAGATAATAATGAAGAGAGAGAGAGAGAGAGAGAGAGAGAGAGAGAGAGAGAGAGAGAGAGAGAGAGAGAGAGAGAGAGAGAGAGAGAGAGAGAGAGAGAGAGAGAGAGAGAGAGAGAGAGAGCCTTCAACATAGGAGGGATGTGGGTGGCCTTACTGTTATGTACAAGGCCAATATTGTCAAAACACCACACTTGGATCCACTTCGAGGACAGCATGAAACAAGCTTTTATGCCACAAGACGGGCAGAAAGCAGCAACTTCACTCTGGCTGTACCCATCTCCAGAACATCACTCCATCTGAGATCATACATACCCAGGATGACTCGAGTATGGAACACATTCGTACAGGATAATGATGTCAACGAGTTAAGTCAGTTGATCAAACGAAAATGCTGGCCCACAGATGGCTCCAACTTCATCCTGTTTCCTACTTGTATGTCTCATAACAATAAAAATGCTTTCAAATGAGCTGATGTAGGTAACAGCTCTTAGCTTGCCAATAAAGTTAGGAATCCTTAACCTGTAAATAGCTGTCAATAAAGCTAGGGATCCTTAACCTTGTCAAACCCTGTGTAGAAAAAAAAAAAAAAAAAAAAAAGAGAGAGAGAGAGAGAGAGAGAGAGAGAGAGAGAGAGAGACCAAAAATAAAGTAGTACGAGTGAAGAATGAGTGATTCCTCGAGGGAAACATATATCAAGAGAGGTGTGTTGATGCTGGTAATGATCTCTTGTTAACAACATACATCACAGCCACACTACCTGGAGTCTACCTGGAGGATATTCCGGGGATTAACGCCCCCGCGGCCCGGTCCAATGACCAGGCCTCCTGGTGGATCAAGGCTTGATCAACGAGGCTGTTACTGCTTGCCGCACGTAGTCCAACGTACGAACCACAGCCCGGCTGATCCGGCACTGACTTTAGGTATCTGTCCAGCTCCCTCATGGAGACAACCAGGGATCTATTGGTAATTCCCCTTATGGGTGGTGGTAGGCCGTTGAACAGTCTTGGGCCTTGAACACTTATTGTGTTTTCTCTTAGGGGTATGTTGCATCGCCTACCAAGTCTTTCGCTTTCGTAGGAAGTGATTTTTGTATGCAGATTAGGAAACAGTCATTCCAGGATCTTCCAGGTGTAGATTATGATGTATCTCTTTCGCTGCGCTCCAGTGAGTACAAGTCGAGTACTTCCAAGCGTTCCCGGTAGTTAAGGTCCCCCCCCCCCATCCGGGCTGTATGACACATAAAGGTTTAGCGCTTCCCCGTAAACAATAAAAAATCGAGCATGGAGACCATAAATATATTCTGAGGAAAGTTTGCTCAGCCTCAAAGTCACAAAGTGATAAGAGAGTTTGCAATCAGCCGCAACGAGAGAGAGAGAGAGAGAGAGAGAGAGAGAGAGAGAGAGAGAGAGAGAGAGAGAGAGAGAGAGAGAGAGAGAGAGTAAGCTTGATGCCTTTCAACTCTTCACGGGTCTTTTTTTTTCAAACGATTACAGAACGAGTAAGAGATGGAGCCGGTGCTGGCTCAGGTCTCTGTAAAACACCAGCAGGAGTTGAAACACCTCAAGCATTTCCATCTCTCTCTGCCTGAATGCATATATACATGTATATATAAATGAATGCGTGTATGTATATAATGTATGTATATATTTATGTACGTATGTAATGTATGTATGTATGTATGTATGTATGTAAGTATGTATGCATGCCATGTATACATGTATGTATGGCAAGAATGGGACCTCCTACTCATTTCTGCAACAATGCAGAAAAAAATATATTTCATTGTATTTGTTTATTACTAAATTACTGCACACATATCAAAAAATATATTTAGTTAAATTAGGCTAAATTAAATTGTGCTTGTTATAATAAGGTTAGGTAAGTTTTCTAAGTTTCTTTTGGTACACAATTATTAATTTTTACATTAATGTAAATGAAACAAAATATCTTCAAACGTACAAGAATTTTTTAATAGAAAGGACTTAATTTTAAATGAGTTCTTGCTAATAATTGCTTTATATATATATATATATATATATATATATATATATATATATATATATATATATATATAAATATATATATATATATATATATATATATATATATATATATATATATATATATATATATATATATATATATATATATATATATATATATATATATATATATATATATATATATATATTATATATATATATATATACTATATATATATATATATATATATTATATATATATATATATATATATATATATATATATATATAAATCACTTTCTAGGTATATCGACAGTGAGAGTAAAATGTTGATGGGATACAATGAAAATAGAAGCAGCACGTTAAAAAGAGGCGAAGCTTTAAAAATTAATGGAGGAGACAATTCAAGTAAGATATAAGCAACTATTGGAGTATAGATGGGCTAGTGAGAGTTTAGGCAATGGAGTCGAAGATGTATGGGGTAGGTTTGAGAATATACTGTTAGTGTTCAGCAGAAATTTGTGGTTACAGGAAAGTGGGTGTGGGAGGGAAGAAGAGCGATTGGTGAAATGATGATGTAAAGAAAGTAGTAAGGGAGAAAAAGTTAGCATATGAGAGGTTTCTACAAAGTAGAAGTGATGCAAGGAGGAAAGAGTATATGGAGAGAAAAAGAGAGGTTAAAAGAATGGTGAAGCAAAGTAAAAAGAGAGCAAATGAGAGAGTGGGTGAGATTTTATCAACAAATTTTGTTGAAAATAAGAATAAGTTTTGGAGTGAGATTAATAAATTGAGGAAGCCGCCTAGGAAACGAATGGATTTGACAGTTAAAAACGGGAGAGAAGAGTTACTAAATGGAGAGTAGAGATTTCAGGAAGATGGAAGAAATATGTTGAGGAACTGTTAAATGTTGATGAGGATAAGGAAACAGTGATTTCGTGTATAGGGCGAGGAGGAATAACATTTTGCAGGAGTGAGGAAGAGCCAGTAGTGAATGTGGGGGAAGTTCGTGAGGCAGTGGATAGAACGAAAGGGGGTAAGGCAGCTCAGATTGATGTGATATAGATAGAAATATTAAAACCAGGTGTAGATATAGGCTTTGAGTGGTTGGTGCTTTTATTTAATAAATGTATGGAATAGGGTAAGGCACATAGTGATTGGCAGAGAGCATGCATAGTTCCACTGTATAAAGGCAACGGGGACAAAAGAGAGGGCAAAAATTATAGGGGAATAAATCTGTTGAGTATACCTAGTAAAGAGTATGGTAGAGAAATTATTGAAAGAATTAAGAATAAGATGTAGAGTAGGATAGCAGATGATCAAGGAGGCTTTAGGAAAGGATATGGAGGGTGTAGACCAATTGTTTACAGTGAAACTAATAGGTGAACAGTATTTAGATAAGCATAAAGAGGTTTTTGTAGCATTTATGGATTTGGAAAATACGTATGACAGAGTGGATAGGGGGAGGGGCGCAATGTGGCAGATGTTGCAAATGTATGGAATATGAGGTAGGCTACTGAAAGCAGTGAAGAGTTTTCACGAGGACAGTGAGGCTCAGGTTAGAGCATGTAGGAGAGAGGGAGATTATTTCCCGGTAAAAGTAGGCCTTAGACAAGGATGTGTGATGTCACCATGGATGTTCAATATATTTATAGATGGGATTGTTAGAGAAGTGAATGCTCGGGTGTTGACAAGAGGTGTGGGGTTAAAGGATAAAGAATCTAACACAAAGTGGGAGTTGTCAGAGTTGCTCTTTGCTGACGACACTGCTTTTGGGAGAGTCTGAAGAGAAATTGCTGAGGTTTGTGGATGAGTTTGGTAGGGACGTGTTAGCACATGGGTCTATGAAGGATGAGGTGAATCAAAGAACTGTGAGGGGGGAAAAGGTGAGTGGTGCACTTAGGAGTTTGTGGAGACAAAGAACTTTGTCCATGGAAGCAAAGAGAGAAATGTATGAGAGTATAGCAATACCAACACTCTTTTATTGGTGCGAAGCATGGGTGATGAATGTTGCTACAAGCAGAAGGCTGAAGGCAGTGGAGATGCCATGGCTGAGGGCAATGTGTGGTGTGAATATAATGCAGAGAATTCGTAGTTTGGAAATTAGGAGGAGGTGTGGGATTACTAAAACTATTATCGAGAGGGATGAGGAGGGTTTGTTGAGGTGGTTTGGACATGTCGAGAGAATGGAACGAAATAGAATGACTTTGAGAGTGTATAGTTCTGTAGTTGAGGGAAGGCAGGGGAGGGGGTTGTGTGAGAGTGGCTTGGACTTCCAGGAAGCAAGCGTATTTGATAGGAGTGAATGGAGACAAATGGTTTTTAGGACTTCACATGCTGCTGGAGTTTTAGCAAAGTAACATTTATGAATGAATTTAGGGAAACCGGCAGGCCCGACTCGAGTCCTAGAGTTGGGAAGTACAGTGCCTGCACTCTGAAGAAAGGGGGTTAATGTTACAGTTTTATAACTGTAGTGTAAGCGCGGCTCTGGCAAGACAGAGATGGAGTGAATGATGATGAAAGATTTTCTTTTTCTGGCCATCGGAGTAGGCCGTTGTGTTAATAAAATTAATATATTATATATATATATATATATATATATATATATATATATATATATATATATATATATATATATATATATATATATAATATATATATATATATATATATATATATATATATATATATATATTAACAAGTCGGCCGTCTCCTACCAAGGCAGGGTGACCCAAAAAAGAAAGAAAACCCCCAAAAAGAAAATACTTTCATCATCATTCAACACTTTCACCACACTCACACATTATCACTGCTTTTGCAGAGGTGCTCAGAATACAACAGTTTAGAAGCATATACGTATAAAGATACACAACATATCCC